TCCGACAACTGAGGAAGTTCAGGATCTCTCCAGTGGTCCTCAGAACCATCTATGCAGGCGCTGTGGAGAGCATCCTCACACAGAGCATCACATCCTGGTTTGGGAACAGCTGTGTTAAGGACCAAAAAGCACTTCAGAGAGTGACCCATACGGCACAACGCTGCTGCAGGACTGCTCCCCCCTCCCTTCAGGACACCTACACCAGGAGATGCTGAACTCCAGCAGCTCAGATATTGAAGGACCCGTCCCATCCCGGGAACACGCAGAAGGTTCTGCACCATTCGGAGGAGCTTCCATCCTCAAGCCATCCAGGTCCTAAACCAGAACATGCCCCCCACCCCCCCTCAGCATCCATAAGTGACTGAGACAGGACTTACTCCTCTAACACACCCCACCCTGACTCTTCTAGACACTTTAACACCCACTTGCACAATGTACATTTTTCAGATTTTCACATTTAAATTTATTTAAAATTATTTATTTAATTCATTTAATGTACATAATTCACTTACTTACTGCACATAATGTCCTCCTGTATATATTCACTAAATGTATATAATGTTCTTCTCTCCTTTTGCACAGTCGAGGAGCGTCAGGATACATTTCACTGCATGTTGCACTCCTACAACTATGAACGTGACAAATAAAGAATCTTGAATCTGTATCATCACCAATCACTTTAAAATACACGCATGGCTGCTCAGCATGTTTGCATGTTTTTGAAGGCACAGTAATTATAGGCAATGACATCAGTGACTCCAGCTGACAGCCTTCAGTGTCAGTCTGGCTTAAATTAAATGATGCCTTAAAGGCAGAGGTGTCACATTCATTGTCACTAACGGTCACACAGAGGACCTGAGCAACAATGACATATTTATACAGTTCACTGATATTTTTATGTTATAAATAAATCCTAGCAAAGTGATGAATTTTTAATGTTGTTCTGCAGATTTGTCTGCAAGTCTTATGTAGCCTGTGGAGAAGGTTTCATATAACACAAAAACATTAATGAGGCGGATTGACTGTGCAGAGCAGAAACTGGATGTACACTAAAGCACAGCCAGCCTTTCCTGCTCCAAACGATGCGACTAGTTTAGGAAAAGACTTACAGTGCTGCAGCTGCACGCATCCGTCTGTTACGCCTCATCTTTGTTTGCTTGGGGTTCAAACTTCAAACCAGCCATGTGAATTATATTCTTTGACAATACAGCAAACAGATACACAGCACTCTCTGTGCAAACATCTCCCACGTCAGTGGAAACTTTCCTTTCGCTGCAGTTAAAGATCCACTCAAACCCGACCTGCACTTCCCTGGAAATGTAGCTACATGCTGTGCCAACAATGGCCAATTCTTTGATTTCTCCTGTGCATTTCCAGCTACGCTTCACTGCAGTTTGTTGTATTTATCAGTGAGAGAATATCAATTAACACCTTAGTATAAGGATTAGTAATCATAGTCTCAACATAGGGACTCAACATAGGGACATAGGGATGTCAACAAACTCCTGGAGGGAGATTGCAGAAACTACCGGAATGACTGTGAGGGAACGTACAAAGAAGTGTAAGAAACTTCCCAGGACTTGGGAAGTAAGAAAGTCCCAGCCTTTCATTTGTTTGTTTCGGTGCTGGCACTGCATGTACCAGGACACGACCGCAAGGTGATTAACACGGAAAAACCACGCACAAGCACAAATGTGTGGAGGGTCACGCCGTGGGCTCTACAACGATTCAGCTGTTAGTCAGCTTGTTAGATTGCACAAGCTGTGGAAGCACGCCTGTCTATTTAGTCTCGCATGGGTGCAAGGGGCACGCCACACAGCTACGACCTGAATTATGAAGCAGCTAAAGTAACAGGTGGGCCAGATTAAAATCTGTGAAGAGCAGGATTTAGTCCAGCTCGTAAGGTCACAAAAGAGCACGATTTTAATTAAAAGTACAAAACAAAAGCTCTGTGTGTTTCTTGACAGAGGAATTCCTGACAGCCCTTCAAACAGGTTTCAACACAGCCAAAAGAAAACTGCCAGCGAGCTCAGTTTATTTAGTGAAACTTTGAAAAATGTCTGCACGGCAAATGGTCTGAATCAACAGAACGTGACAGACTTCTGCCAGAAATTTAGAGAAAACTTTAAAGAACATCACACCATGTGCTCCCACAGATTTCCCCAAAAATGATTGGGAATTATTCGGAGACTCTGTTATTATGTTTAAACCTCTCGGCCTGTGAGTGCTGTAGATGTTTGGATCACTGCCCTGACATGATGAAGTGCAGAGTGAACTGGTAACTCCTGTCTATAACCAGTTTATCAGCACAGATGTGGTGTGCAGCACAAGGTTAAATACTGCATATTTTATCAGTGCTGGTGGCAGAGAATGACAGGGGTGAATTTTAATACAGGTATAGAAGACAAAAGCACAAAGAGGCCGCAGAGGAAAGCAGTCCACTCCGGTTTGTCAGGTTTGTTGGCTTAATGCAGCACAAACAGACAAAGCATGAAAACCGGATGATGGCTCCATCACATCACTAATTGATTACCTGTCAAATTGAAAGGCTAAATTAAGCAGGCAAACTTAGCCAAACCATGCAAATGCTGCTGCTGCTGCTTTTCCGAGGGCCTCTTTGCTCTGCATGGCTGCGTGTCAGATAAGTCAGAAAATGCGGTTTGGGGATACAAGACCGTCAGTGATGTCAGATCAGAGTTGGCCCTCTTTAATCCTAAACGCCGGCCAAAATCTAACCCGTCACAGCTGCAGCCAGCTCGGTTTAGTTACCCGGCTAAAACACTTCTTTCTACTGACCCCGTTTAATTATGTTACAGCACAGAAAGTGTTGAAGCATCGAACCAACTGGTGCAGCTGTATAGCGCTGTGGTTCACCTAATGTCAAGCTGCAAGCGCTGGCCTGCGATCTCGGCCAGCTAATGTTAGCTAACCGAACCAAGCGGGTCAAGCTAGCCGTGTATCCCTGCGCTGCCACGCAGCGAAACCCCACGGGTGACCGTGTCTCCGCCGATACACCTCGGCAGCTGACACCTGCGGCTCAACACGCTCAATGACACCAACCCACGTCACATGAATTACCTGTACTGCGGACCGGCACCATGTGTGAAGCCGAAATAGTTGCTTGCAGCCATCTTGGCATCTCCGGTACAGTACAGTGTGCTGACAAACAGCAGCGGAGCGGTGACACCGAAACTCAAGATAGTTCCCCCCCTCGACTGCTGCTAACGGTCACATACCGGAACTGGATCGGAAAGACACGAAACGGTTACAAACAGGGAGCTTTCAGCGAGAAACTCCGTGTGCGCCGTGTAAAGTCTGCGGTCAGTGTATAATTTCTATATATATATATGATATCCTTGTTAATATATATAGATTTTCATAACTTCTCCACTTAATCGCTACACGCATGCGCACTAAAAAAAAATTTTTTTTAAAAACCCGCTGAGATTAAAAATAATTCTGCTTATTATTATTATTATTATTATTATTATTATTATTATTATTATTATTATTATAGCGCTAAATGACACCGTATATCTGCGTTTTAAACACTATTCGGGTATGGCTCAAAACTGTATGCCAGTGTAATGATAAACCCAACCTGAAACTGCTGAGATAATTGTGACATAACAGAGAATGCGTGAGCTGTGGCATGAGAACACACGAACAAACTTTAGCAATAGTGCTAGAAATATAATATATTTAACCTTTACATGCTAAATGACAATCTAGTGACATCCACAACTTGTTCTCCTTTGCCCCACACAAACTTAATGCCCTACATATAGTTTTTTGGATCTGGTCTTATTTTACATTTCAACAAACAGATCATATTTTTAAAAAACTGTAATTAAAAAAAAGTCAATTTAACTAATTAACTCCAGTTTTATGCTTTAGTAAAGGCACTGCTTTAATTTGTTTCTCTCTCTTTTCAGCTTTTTATCTCTTTTACATTTTGTACTGATTTGTATAATTATTATTTGTTATTATGAACGATTAATTGATATATACGTAAATAAATACATTTTAGCGGAGACGGAAGTGCGTTGGCGTGAATGCTCTCGCTTTGCTTAATACTCTGGGTGTGAATGGCTGGGTGATTGGACGGGTGTTGCGTGCCTCTGATAATTGAGGTACAGTCTAATGTTAACCCAGCTGCCCGGGGTGAGTCATACCAAGCACCATCACATTCAGCTCTTCTGCACGTTTCGTATAAAAGTGCACGCATGTCCACAATGCTAAAAAGCATCGTTTGACCTTGGGGTTTTAAAGGCATCAGCTCAGGATCCGTACAAAAAAAAAGAAAAAAAGGAGGAAACCCCTTATTATGCATAAGAGGGACACAAATATTTGTTAAAAGCTTTTTCTCGCGGGTAATTACTCACGAGGCCTTATGGACAGAATAAAAGAGACCTTTTAGGAATGTGCAGAACAAGTATTTTCAGCCATAGTATGCGGTGAAGCTGTAGAGATGATATGATTGGCTGGCAGAAAGTGAAGTAAGGGTCTGAATAATTCATGTTGTGGGGTAGCAGGTATGAAAGAGGCACGAGCAAGGAGGCATAGAGGCTGAAGAGAGGCTATGGATGGAGAGAGATGCTGTTGCCAGGGAACAGCAGCCACACAGACCACCACTGAAAACAACAGCAGGATTATCTGATGGGACTAAAAGCAGACAGAGGCTGGTGCTTATTTTTCCCAAGTTGCTGCAGGGATAAATAAGCTACTTCCATGGAGGAATGTAAATACAGTGGAAGCCCAAAGAAGCTTTTCAATTGATACTGTGGTGAGAAGAAAAAGCTTCTCCAAAGGTATTTGGGTCCACATGAAGGGAGAAGAGAGGGGGGGTCGATATATATAGAGAGAGAGATCACGATGCCAGAGCAGATGCGTTCCCATTAAAGGAATTTTGTGTCTCGGTGGTGTGGAAGTAAGAGCTGAGAGGCAAGGCTGTCAGCTCGCTCTTCACGGCCAGTCTTTCCCCAACAAAGGTGACCAGAGGCGGAGGAGAGGAGAGGGGGGTCCAGAACAGAGGTGCCCCCTGTCCTCAGACACCTGCTGCTGGCGAGCCGCGGACATCGAGGACAGTGTGTGACTGTGTCCGTGCACAAGTGCGCGTGCGTGAATCCGAACGAATGAATGAGAGACGGAGAGAGAAAGAGGAGGAGGAATTTTCGACTGACCCACGCTTTTCTGTTGATGTGGAGCAGCGGGGCGGTCTCCCCTCAAATCTTTGCATCTGTGACTGAGGACGAAGGAGACGCTCCACATCGGGAGATCTCACGCCGCTCGTGTGAGTTTAACATCCTTGCATTTATTTTATGCACGGTCACACAGCTCGCACACGCATGCACGATTGTCCGTTAATGTGAGAAATCTTTTCTGTTGGACGTTCCACTCGGGGTGACCTAGAAAGGCTGTGGAGCCATTTTGCTGCACCTTTTGGTGCTGATTGGCTTTGCAGAAATCATTGATGTTCTCATTTGAAGACCAGGAAGGTGCATGGTGTTTATTTATTTTTTTATAAACATGATTTTGCGATTCATGCCTGCTGGCATTTCATACACAGCCACAAGTGCTGCTGCCAAAACCACACCACTCCTAGTGATTATATCAGTGTTGCTATTATTTCGGTATGCACTGCTGCATGTCATCATCGCACTGGGGCTGGTTGTACTACAGCACATGTTTTGTGGCTAAACACACCTTTTCATTCTGTTTCTAAGTGCAACCTGCAACCCAAGAGTGGAAATGCTTCCATCGCTCTGTGGAACAGGCTCGGAAAAGCAGAACTTTAGGTCTTCTTATTAAGCATCCACTGAGAATTCTCTCTAAGCTCTTAAGCACAAATTAATTCATGCTTTTCAAGTTTTCTATTTAATGGTGTTAGTGCTCGGAAGCCTGAGAAAGCAGAGGTGTGGTCGACTTAAAGAGGAGTCAGTTTTGTCCTCCACGTCTGCCTGTGGAATTCCAGGCGAGGCCAAAGTCAATTTTCATATTTGACTTTTGAAGGATTTCTGCAGAAAAGCGAGCTCAGTCCGATCCAGTCACATGCCTCTCACATGTGCTCCGGTTGGCCGGGGGGATAAAAACCACGTGAGCTGCAGTGACTTAAGCCCCCTAATTATAATGAAAGAGAGTCAATATTTGGGAGAAATCTCACCACAGAGCTGACGTTTCCCTCAGCATACAGGCCAAAACACACGTTCCTGCAGCGCAGCAATGTGTGACACCTTTGGTCTGTGACTGCGAGTGCTATTGCTCATAAAAACTCTCTGCACACCTCCAGGCCCCTGCTCTCCTCTCTGAGGGATGGGCACCACAGAGGCGACTCTACGAATGGAGAACATGGAAGTAAAAGACGAGTGGCAGGATGAAGACTTCCCCAGGTATGATCCTTCCACTTTTTAAAGGCATCTAATGCGCGGTCGTGTTGATGTGATGATGAAAACTGATTGTAAGATTTAAAAAAAATCCACTTATTCTCCTTTAAATTCTCAGCTGATTGGTAATTTTCCACAACAGGATAAGATCTGCGATATTGTTTATAATTTGATGAGCAGTGGCTGAAATTCAGAGCTTAATGAGCAGAAAATAAGTGGCAGGAAAGTGTGATGAAAATCAGCATCCTCCTCCTGCTCCTCCTCCCTCTTCCCTCCTCCTTTGTTGGATGGGGGAGGCAGGAAGCCAGGGAGCAGGTGCAGCGCTGTCTTGGAAGCGGTGTCGGGCAACGTCATGTGACGCAACGGCAGTCGCTGATCAACAACACCAGTTCAGGAATATGGTGGCAGGTTTTGGTTAAAGACGGAGGGTCAGCCAGTTATTAAAGAAGAATCAGAGTGATGCTCTGCTCCGGTTCGGCTCACACCAGCTGAGAGGACAGGGAATGAGCCCAAACACAGAGGTGTGTGAGGTAAAAGATAAAGATCATTAAGGATCGGCTTGGACAAAAGCAGCCCCGAGCTGTCTGCTAAGGTAAGCATCAGTGGTTCGTGCTGATCTTAAGAGATAACGCAGACATAAACAGATGAGCTTGAGCTCGCCCCCCTCGTCAGTTTGCATTTCTATAAAAAAAGAGCTTCATTTGTGACAAAGGAAGCGGCGGATCAGTAGTCACAGCAGGGGTCCTCGGGGAATAGAGGCACAGTGTCTGTTTCTGTGGGCTGAAGCCTGATTGTTGGCTCAGGAGGAGCCCGCACTGTCACACAACTGTCCTCCCGCTAATGGGAGGATGAGACGGTTGGCTTTCACAGGAATGCAGCTAAGACCCTCTCTGCTGAACAACACTGCGCTAGAGCTCCCCACTCCTCCCAGTTTTTTAACCAGTGAGGGCACAGCTGCGCACTCAGTTGTTCCTCGGGTTTTATTGCCGACAGCCCAAAACAACACATACAGGTGCAAGCACGTTTGCCCCCATTTGCTTGCTTTTTCTGCTTTAGACACATTTGACAAGGAGGGAAGAAGAGGAAGATGTTGATGTCCTCCCATCCTCTCCTCCTTCTGTGCAGAGTGTAAACAGAAGCAGAAATGCAGACACTTTGTTTGTATGCAGACACACTTTTTTCCTCCTCTGTTTCTCCACCCCTCCATCATCCGCTCTGACTCACACCCTGCCCGGCGGCGCTGTAATCTTCGTCTCTCCCCGGAGACAAGTTAATAACCATCTCTATCCTCTTCTGCGTGCTCTTCTTTTCAGCACTTAGCCAGATTAGTGACAACACCCACACCTAGCTTCGACCTTTTAACGCGGTACTAATCATATGGATCCATTTTATTATGAGGTAGGGCTGCCACAATTAGTCGACTAGTCACGATTACGTCGACTATCAAAATCGTCGACGACTGATTTAATAGTCGACGCGTCGTTTGAAGCTTTGTAAGATCACAAAAGACGCAGGAATAAGCAGTAGGATTTAAGAGTGTAATAACGGACTGAGACAGAAGATGGCAGCACTGCATGTACAAGGATGCCAGCTGCCGTTAAACCCTGAAGAAGAAGAAGCTGTCCCAGAATTCATAGCGCAGCCCAGCTCAGTTTCCAACAATGGCGGCAGCTAGTTAGTTTTAATATTACTCTTATTATTCTTTCTGGGTCACAAAATAAACGTTTAACATATTTTCAGGCGAGAATGTAGCTGTGTAAACCTCAAATATCTGCTCAGTTTATCAAGACACCACATATGTTCAAAAGCGCTCTGACGTTTTCGGAGACGTCTGTTACCCACTAGCTCGATAGCTAGCCGGGGGCTAGGCTCACTAGAGCCGTGAGAACACCGGACTCCCGGCAAATCGTTTTCAAACCCACCGCCGTCTTTCGCTACTCAGGTTAAATATATATAAGTCACTTAGATAGTGACTTAGATAGTCGACTAATCGCAAAAATAATCGGTGACTAGTCGACTATCAAAATAATCGTTTGTGGCAGCCCTATTATGAGGTCATAGTTACAAAGTGGGGCGTGCTTTAGGATGCATTTATCTCAGCTGAGGAAAAATGATGTGTTTTTGTACTGTGTGGCTGAACCTTTACTCTCTGCAGCATCATAACTTTCTCTCTGTCGTGTAATAGATTGCACTAGATGCTTACATAGTGTATGCATGTTTCCAACCAGACCACTACCAGAGTACGGAGACATGGACCCCTCCTGTGGTCTCACAGATGACAGAACCTGTAAGTAACACCAACAAGTCAGGGGTCACCGAATGATCATTATTGATGACAAACCCCTCACAGTCTCTCTCCTCCTGCCCTCTGGCCTCACTGTAGCTCATCCTACCTCCCTGAACGTGAGCTCACCGGGAGGAGGAGGCGGCGGCGGCGTGTCCTCATCCCACCGGAAGAGGCGTACGTTGATCGCCCCGGAGATGAACCTCTCCCTGGATCAAAGTGAAGGCTCTTTGTTGTCAGATGACTTCCTGGACACGCCGGATGACCTGGACATAAACGTTGACGACATCGACACTCCAGATGAAACCGACTCACTCGAGTTCATCACGAATGGCAATGACCTGGAGTGGGAAGGTTAGCAGATCCATAACAGGTCACTGTTTTTACTCCTGATATTAATGCATCAGCTTCAAAAAGCTAACTGAGGCTGAACTTTAGGCAAAAAGGGTTTTTTGTTGCTATTTAAGCTGAAAATTCACTACATGTATCCATGCACGTACCATAAAATCTCAGCTGAGAAGTTACACTGTGCTCTTTGACCTAAACATGCTAATATATGTCGATTTTTACAGAGACTTTGCAAAAGGAAAGGATCTGTAACACCACCTAACTTAAAAGGAGCTTACACATATTATGATTAATGTTTCCCTTCGACTAAAACGATTCAGCATAACTCTGTTCGTGCCCAGATGACACACCGGTGGCATCAGCGAAAGCAAATCCTGTGGACAGATCCGGAGAGGTGGGCGAGGATGGGAATGCCAACAACGGACGCCTCTGGAGAACAGTGATCATCGGAGAACAGGAACATCGCATCGACATGCAGGTCATCAGACCTTACCTTCGGGTCATCACACACGGAGGTGAGAGTCAGAAAAAGCTTTCAATTAGCAATAAAATAATCCTTAAAAAAAGAAAACAGTTGGGACGTTGTGTAAATGTTGATAAAGACAGAATACAGGGCTTCACAAAACTCATAAAGTCTTATTTTATGCACAGTAGAATATAGAAAACAGATCAAATGTTTAAACAGAGAAAGAAAAACCTGGATATAGTACATATATATATACACAGGCAGTGATTTGTGGATGCAGTGATTTCCATGACAGACTGACGCCTGAACACCTGAAAATCGTGTGTCTCATCATGAACTTTCCCCCTGTTGCCTGCATGCAGAGATTTTTCCGGGTTTTCTGAATTGTTGGTGATATATTGTACTGTAGAGGATCAGATATTCAAAGTCTTCACACTTTTATGTTTTGTAGATGCATTTTTTGCAAACTGGTGAAACTTAGAACTACGTTCACACTGCAGGCGAAAGCGCATCAAATCCGATTTTTTTGACCCTATGCGACCCATCTATCTGATCATGGTGTGACAGTGTGAACGGCACAAATCCGATATTTTCAAATCCGATCTGGGTCACTTTCGTATGTGGTTCTGAATCCGATACATATCTGATGTTTCAGAAAGCTGCTGTTTGACGGTCATGTCGCATTAAATCCGTCTTTTACGTCACCGACACAAGACAGACGCCAATTATCAGCGCCGGAGAAGACATCGTGAACGCTTCCTGTTTCACTAACTAGATGTTAGTGAAACTGTTGGGAAGACAACGTTGGAGAAACGTGAACATTTTATTTGTACTGTATAATCTGCAGATTCTGACAGAAATCTGCAACTATCCTTTGAAGCACCGCTCCTCTAAAACAGCAATAAGGATCATTATTAGGTTATTTACATTATTATGTAAATAACAAAATAACTTAAAGCAAAAATTGGGAAACGTAAAGTCCGAAGTCTTTATATTAAGGCCATCAGTCAAACAATATTGTTGGTCTGGGTCTAAACAGAGCGCGTTGTGTGACGTCTTCTTTTGCGCATGCGGACGCTTTGAGCGTTCACACTAGAGCGCGTTTGCTGTCGCATTTTATTTGTAGTGTGAACGAGCAGACAAAAAAATCAGATTTGATCAAAAAAATCGGAATTGAGCATTAAGACCTGCAGAGTGAACGTAGCCTAATATGCTCTCTTTGTAACCAGTCATGTGTAAAAATGACTTAATGTTTTTCAGGAAGTAGTAAAACGTCTCAGTTTAAACGTTCAACATGTTTCGTCTGGTTTGTTGTGAAAGTTTCCATGACAGTAATGTTAAACTCTCTCTCCTCAGGTTATTATGGCGAAGGCCTGAATGCCATCATTGTGTTTTCTGCTTGTTACCTGCCTGACAGCAGCTGTGCAGATTACCACTACATCATGGAAAACCTCTTCCTGTGCGTCTCTCAGCCAACTTACTCGCACTTTTAAGCCCTGTATGTCAACACATTTTGCACCCAACATGAAATCATAACTCTCGTGCCCTCCAGGTATGTGGTGAGCAGTCTGGAGATGCTCGTTGCCGAGGATTACCTGATTATTTACATGAATGGAGCAACTCCTCGGAACAAGATGCCTGGCATCAGCTGGCTGAAGAAATGCTACCAGATGATCGACAGAAGGTCAGAAAAAAGTTCAATACATTGATTGATATCTAGCGTATTGAGAATTTCTTTATATAGATCTGTTTGGAGATGTCCACATGGACATACCTGCTATTTTCTGAACTCTGGCTCATCTCCATCATCCCACATACATGATGCTGATATTGACAGATATGAAAGGGAGAGAAATAAAAGTTTTCTCAAGCTGTCAGTCAGCGAAAGCTTGTCGATGGCTCTGAGTCCTGTTGGGTATAAAATGGGAATAAACTTTTAGCACACACAAAGCAGCTAAACTGTATTTCCCATAAACGTGTGAACAACGATGCAGCTCTGTTAACAAACTTGAGTTTTCTTTCTGTTTCCTGGCAGATTGAGGAAGAACCTGAAGTCTCTGGTCATTGCTCATCCCACGTGGTTTATACGCACCGTCCTGGCTATATCGAGGCCTTTTATCAGGTGATACGAACAAGCTGAATATCAAACACCGAACGTTTTCCATTAAGACCTGAAGGTTAATCGATACAGGCCACACAATGTCTTTTAACCTCCTGAGAACTGAGTCCTTGTTTGTTTTTCTGATAGCTATTTGAGATCAGACAGTCCTGTCACGTCTATAAACTAAGCTCACTTGTTACTTTGTTACTTTGTTACATAGTTGCTACAAACTACAATGTCCCCATGTGGGTAAATAGGTTAATTTTACAGAATAATACAATAAAATCAAGATTTCATAGTAAGTATAAAGCCGGGTTGAGCAGAATGAAGTGTAATGTGCAGGAAAGGAAACATCCCTGACACAGAGCAACTATAATAACTTTAATCTGTTTCTCATTTAAAATATCAGTTTGACAGCGTGGATCTGTTTGCTGCAGATTTTTTTATTGTTTGTCTTTTTATGTATGTGTGTAACTGTTGTGTTGCTTTTCTCTTGTCCTCTGCAGCGTGAAGTTCATGAATAAGATCCAGTACGTCCACAGCCTGGACGAACTGGCAGAAATGGTGCCCATGGAGCACGTCCACGTCCCCGAGTGTGTGGTGCAGTAAGTATCTGTGACCACTAGATGGAGAACATGAGCTTTACCTGCAGGAGTGGTTAATCCTTTTTTCTTTTTTTAAAGTTATTACTCATTTAAATCAAACTGAGAACAAGACTGCTGTTTGAATAAATGTACAATAAGATTATTACCTCAGTGCTTAAAAAGAGGACTTAGATGGCAGGATTCACTGTGTGATGTGAGGATATAACAGCGCCTCTCATTTTCAGATTTGACGAGGAGAGGATTAAAGCCCGGAGGGAAAGGTAAGATATAGCTTTGTGCAGTTTTAAATAGCATTACGCACCAACCTCGTGCATATTATTATAGACATGTAACTGTGTGCAGAATTAAGAGTGGCTGAAGCACTTAGAACTGGTGTGTGTGTGTGTGTAGGATTGAGCAGGAGCAGAGACAGCAGGAGCAGCATCCAGCCCCGCAGGAGCCCGTGAAAAAGTCTGAGAGGTAGAGTTCCTCTTAAACCACATTTTAATGTGTGACAACAAACTCAGAAGCTCATCAGGTTTCAGGTCATTTTCACAGCTCTTACCTTTACTTTTCTTTTTCAGGCCAAAATCAATGATTGTAGGTCAAGGGTTGTGAGAAGGACGGAGATTTGAAGGTAACGTTGCACTTCTTATTTCAGCCACAAGATGGTGCTCTGCTCTCACATGAGTTTACCGCATCATTAAGCCTCTGCACAGATTCCAGTTTATGTTTATAGAAGTACATCCACTCTGTCCTAATTTTGGATTCATGTTCTATGATGGTTGGACAGGTTTGTCTGTCAGGGTCACAAACTGAAGAAATAATCATCTGATTGCTTTGGTGCTAAAAGTAGAACTGAGCAGGACGCAGTTTGCACGGTGTGAGTTGGTACTTGTGTACTTTTTTGCTGCCTTTAAATACTGCGGTTCTGTCATTAGCTGAGCTTTTCTCCTTCAGTGTTTCTTTCTCTACATTTCCTTGATTCTGTTTGGTGCAGCTTCGTTTCCGCTTTCTAAAGTTACAGCTGTGAAACAACATTTCTCAGTTTCTCGTGTACTTCAGAGATTAACTTAACCCAGCTGATGGTCACGTACATATTCTGTAGCTTCCACGTCATTTAAGTGATGATGAGGGAAGAAACTTTGCTTTTAGATTTTAGGGGTATTTTACATATTTCACCAAACTTTAGCCTCACACAGTTTGTGCTGTATCTCTGGATGAAGTTTCCTGGATATCAAACAATTTTGGTGTTTTTATCATCAACATAAGGCTGACTGAAGAGGTTAATACTGTTCATTTTAAGTATATTGTCAGTCCTTGAAGTAGATAACTCCTGTACAGAAGCTGATTCAGGCTAAAATTTCAGTGGATAGTTTGTTTGTTTTTTTTAATCGATAATATCCTTACAGGCTAAAGATGGCGGCACGTTCGGGGTAAGGCTTCTAATGTGGCGGTACATGCTGGTAGAAACCAGGTGGCTGAAGGTTGTATAGAGTAGTGACCTGTGACAGTCCAGCTGACACGCTCAGAGAGACTGTGTGCTAATGCTACACATCACTGAGGTGCAGAAGCGAGATTCTTGTCAATTTTTTAAACTACTTGAAAAGAGATCATTTTTAGTTTAGGTCTGACCATCATACACTCATACAGGCCACTTCATTAGGCACACTCCTTAAACTGCCTTAATGCAAATTTCTAATCGCCCAATCACGTGGCAGTAGATCGATACACTGTGGCATGTTGACGTAGTCGAGTCAAACTGCTGAAGTTTAAACCCATTCAAGCGGGTAAAATGCCTTGTTGATGCCAGAGGTCAAAGGTCATGACCAGACATCTTGGAGCTGATAGGAAGGCAGCAGTAAGTGAAATAACTGGAGGTAAGCAGGTGGTACACGGCAGCAGAAGACCACACAGCTGCTCCTGTGAGCTGTGAACAGGAAACTGAGGCTACAGTTCTCACAGGCTCGACGGAAGTGGACCACAGCAGATTGTCTGTGTACGTTCTCTGTTATCTGGGTCAGTTTGTAGCGCTTGAGGAAAAGGAAACTGGACCTCGTATTCAAGAACCTTTTTCAGTTCAAAAACAACTGGTGGAAAATCCTTGGTATTCAATTTCTAGTGGGATTCTCCCTTTGGACATAATCCTGGGAATTATTGGCCCACTGTTGATGCAGCAAGTCGTTAAGGGTCATTTCCACCAAGTTGTTAATTGTTTGTGAGACTTTGCTCCATCGCGCTCGTCATTATGTGAGCGTGGGTTGGATCGGCTTGCAAAGAGACTCCAAAACTGCGTTGTGGGTGGCTGCTTCCTGATGCTGTAAGCCACCATCTCTGTTAAACGATGATCATTTATACTTAATGAAAATGTCTCCTCTGTCTTCTTGCTCCAACATGGGAACATTAGCATAATCAAACACGTCCTCCCTTTTTTATAAGTGCAGATATCCAGCTGAATCTCGTCCTACTGAGGTGTTTCTCCTGTGCTGTGCATATGTGGAGTAGGTCTGTGTAACGGTCCAAGCATTCCTCACTGCATAGACTACACTGTGTATGCTGTGCAATGTGCAGTGCTTGTGTTTTGTCCTGGGCGAGCGTTTTGTCCTGATTTCTGCAGTGACATTCAGCTGGTGGAGTCAGAATGTGGCAAAAACATCACGAGAGCATCGATCCATCCTGCCTCATATTAGTGGTTCAGACTGGTAGTGACGGAGGTGTGGGGCATGGCCCAGCATGAATGGACCCATCTTCATATGGTGCTTACAACAGGATAATGAGCCGTGCAACAAAACTCCAAACTGGTTTCTTGAACATGACAAGTTTGCTGGATTGAGATCTGGTGACTGCAGAGACCATTTGAGTACAGTGAAGCACCTTTGGGATGTGGTTGAACGGGAGATGGACATCGTGGATGTTCAGCCAACAAATCTACTGCAGCTGTCTGATGTTATTGTGTCAGTATAGACCCACATCTCTAAGAAATGCTTCCAGCACCTTGAACCGAGGCTGCTCGGAAAGCAAAAAGCAGATCCAACTCGTTCTACCTGATGAATTGACCACTAAGTATAATCTTGTCAGTTTAACTACAAAAATTGACTGATAGTAAAAGATTTTAGAAGCATAAGTCTCGTCTTTGTTTCCTTC